AGAGCCAAAGATGTTAGAATTGTGTCGATGTCCCAATATTTCTGGACCTGACTGTAAATTTCTTTTTTTTTTAAATGCTGCAAAGCAGTTCTAAAGAAAGAATGAGCCAACCAACATCCAAGATATATGTCTTGCTTATTCCAGGATTTTTATGCCCCAATTTCATCTGTATTAACTAGAATTCTTCAGGACCCTTTTTTAAATAAGGCTCTTAATGTATTTGAAGGATTAATCACTCTCCACCCCAAGCAACAACATGCTTAGCTTGTGTACATTTAAACAAAATATAATTTCTTACAAACAAACAACTGGGCAAGACAATTCATAAGTGAACTACAAAATGGTCAAAAGAAGCTAAAGTTTTACAGTGGCTGGCATTTTATTTATGTATTTATTTATTTATCATATTTATATAGCCGCCCATCTCACACAAGGTGACTCTGGGTGGCGTACAACAGCATTTCAATAATCTCAAAAACATACAATTTCAATCTGCTTCATTTAAGCCTAAAACTTCACAAAACTTCACAAAACGCAAAAACTTCAGTTTTCATGCCCCAAGGTAGTAAAAAAATACCCCTCTCAACATTCTACTTTCTGATTGTTGTTAGAAAACTTAGAAAAGGAGCACAATAGCAGCAAAAAAAACCCCAAAACCAACTCCCCCCTTCAAAAAAAACCAATTCAACTAAATTATGCAAGACAAGGCTGGGCCCAGCCTTAGATGTCCAAGGAAGGTTGACCAAATTTATGCTGACCATTCTCAGTGTTGCCAGTCATTTTAGAGTAGGAAATGAAAAAGGAAAGGCAAAGTTTAGTACCATTTAGCTCAAAAATACAGATTTTTTTCTACCAAATTAGCACAACCACACAGATTAGTAATGAGCTGGAAAGGAGCAATCTATGTAGAGGCATTTGTTCTGATATTTGAGTACAGTCATGCCAAACCTAATGGCTATGGATGAATGGAGTTAGGTTACAACAACTATAAATGTTATAGGCAAGAATTCTGAGTAACCATGGAAAGGGACCAGGAGTTAGGCCTGGACTGTATTGCATCCTCATCTTCCCACAGCTGCTCAGATTACTGCCAACATAAACTTCCAGGTAATGTTATACAAGCGCACAAACACTGACACGCAAGGAGTGGTGCACTGGAGGGCATGGGCTGTTGCAAACTCACTTTAATTCAATTTGCTCAACAAGGCAATGAAAAAATGTTGTGAATTCAAGACATTGAATAGAAAGCCACATCACTTTTTCTGTTTAATTTTTTTAATTTAAAAACACTCAGAAACAGGACTCATTTACATTTTAAATCTAACTGCAGTTTAAAAGAATGGAGGCAGAAAAACAGACTGAAGATAGCAAAGGAGAGAAATGCTTGTGTGGAAGAAGAAACGGATTCAGATAGATCTTTGGGCAGCAAATTAGTGAGAACA